TTTTTTTTCCCTCCGAGCTTGTATTTACAGTCTGTCTTTTGTAAGAAATTGTTAATCAATTAATTGTTGCCTGCTTGCTAATAACTGGGAATTCTGAAGTCCATTCTCCTTTTTTTCTATTGTTTGAGGGCAGGTAATCAAGAGTGCTGTCACAAGTACTTTGCTTCCCCAGGCCTTTTAACTCCTGTGAGACTGTAACGTTAGAAAGGTTGCTAACAGAATGGTCTTTTCTGTAATGGATGAGGGCTAATGACTTTCTCTGACTCCTGGGCTTATCTTAGGTTTCAGCACTGCCTGCTGTGAGGCATTTGAACCTGTGCGAGAGACTTGGCCAGTGGAACAGCTTTAGGGTGACCTGGTTTGGGGACTTTCAGTTTTTCCGGAGGTTTTTAGGGGGATTCTTCTCCCACATAGCTCTTCTTGTTGGAGTTCTGTGGGACTACGTTTCTTGCATCTCCTGTGCCACAGATGAATATAGCCTGTGGGAATGTGGGGTGAACAGTTATGGTGATACGAAGTGTGGTGTCATAACTATACCACTTTTCCCCGTACCTGTAATTACCTTTGGACACAGCTGTTGTAGAGCTTACCCAAGCCTAATGAATGTGAGAGTGGTGCGTGCTGCCTGGTGTCATCAACTGAACTTTGCCAAGATCTTGGATGTTCTTTGTGGGATGCAGTTTGCTAACTTACTGAATCCAGGCACTACCACAAGCGCTGTAAGTGGAAGAAGGTTGAGTGAACTGTTGTGCTTTACCATGTCAGGTCAGGAAGCACGTACCATCTTTATTTGTGCTGCAATTCGTATTTATTCTTTTCAGTGATTAAGCAGTGAGAGAGCTGATGTGAAGTGCTTTGGGTTCCTTGCATCTCTATCAGTACTTTTTAAAACTGTGTAGCTATATCCTATGATCTTGTAATATTTCATAGGTCTTTTGAACTTGAAACTAGTGACTGTTGTGTACCTGGTTTTAATTAAAACAGATTCATGGTACTTTGTCCATATATATGTATGTGTATATATATATATAGTATACAACTACTAACATCTTCCAGTGTTTACCAAGTATTCCTTAACTTGACATACTCTTATCTGAGTGTATCTTAATGAGAATTTCCATTTTAGGTTGGCTTTTTACTAGTATGTCCAGGTTTTAACAAATAAACATCAATTTTTTGCTATTAAATTTTTTCTAGTTGAAATCAGCAGAATTTTTCATTTGCATGTTGTATTACTGCTTGGAAGGTCATTTGCTGGATTCTGGTGCTGACAGAGCATTTGTGCCTTTGGGGGAAAAAAAAAAGGCGGATCAAAGGAAGTGAAGTGCCCTCTAGTCTGAGGGCATACTTTCAGAGTAAAAATGCATATTTAATTTCTGCAGCCTTCTGCTATTGTTACCCTCTTCTGTACATGAGAATCAGATAAGCTAAGCTCTCTGTGTACTCTTTTGATGCAGTTGGTAAACTAACTAACCCCTAAGAAGTTGACATTCCTTTTATTATTTTATTAAGTCTTGTATCTGCTGAGGTTTAAGAAAACAGAGCAAAAATAGTAAGTAGTAAATTCTGCTCACTTTATTGGTCAAGCACATACTATCATTTTGTGTGAAGGTTTTCCTGTTGATGTATGTTGTGTGTTCATAGTACAGCAAAAAATCGTCACTGTTGCAGTAAAACTGATTTTGCTACGGAAAGTGTCAACATGGGGATAGTGATTGAATCTGAAAACTGGTTTGCAAAATCATAGTCTTGCTGTGTATTTGTATACATATTAATGCATATTCATATAGAGTTATAAATGACGCAGTGTTTTTAGAAACATAAATTAACCAAGCTTGATCTGTTTGACAGTTCTTTCATCCTTCTGCGGAGCGTAAGTTAACGATGGTGACTGTAAGCCTCCAGTGAAAGTAGTGGTATACCGTAGAATTAAGTCTTGAATGCTGTTGTGTTTGCATTCTCCAGTTAAGCCTGCACTTTGTTGGTGAACTTTATTTTCTTAATAGCAGGTGACGATTAAATTACTTCTAAAACATGTTGTTCGAGATCTCAAACACACAATAGTAATACAGTTCCTATAAGGGGTTCATTTGTTAATCTGAGCTCTGTTTTACAAAAATTGTATGAATGCTGCTTTCCTTTGAAATTGATCTTCAAAAAGAAATCCTGTTTTGTATAATAAGATGCCAGACTCACAAAGATTTCCTTTCTTGTTTCATAGACGTTCCATCTTCAGAGCAGCCTGAACTGTTCCTAAAGAAACTTCAACAGTGCTGTGTCATTTTTGACTTCATGGACACGCTTTCAGACCTTAAAATGAAAGAATACAAGCGCTCCACTCTTAATGAACTGGTGGACTACATTACAATAAGCAGAGGCTGTTTGACAGAGCAGACTTACCCTGAAGTAGTTAGAATGGTGAGTTCCTTCTTTCTCATGGTCTCTTTAAATCCACTTGCAATTCCAGTTACGCATTGTGGGCGAAATTGAACCCTGGAGTAGGTGGATTAAATGAGGCCTTTGGTTTGTATTTTCTACTAGACATCACTTGGGGATAGTTCTCCAAAGACAAAAATATTAATTTTTATATATGCTTAATTAAAGTCAAGTAGATGATGGTTATTATAGTGTCACAAATGTATGAAAGGAAACTTGGATTATTTCCTGATGGAGAAAGCCAGCAGCCATAAAATCACGAGTCCCTCACATTTCCCCCCACCTACCCTCCCTTCCCCCCCACCCCAGTATAAATAATGGAATAATTTTGGAAAGTTTTGTATTTTTCTTTGAACTTTATCCAAGCTCTTGAGTCTGTACTTTAGGCGGAGATAGCTTAAGTTATGCATGGATAATGATTTTTAAATAATGAATGCTAAAAATGTTGTATAGGATAAGTGTGAAAATTTCCTGGTTCTATTATGTGGATTCATAGCAGCTGCCGTTAGAGTGAGCAAGATTACTCAATAGTAAAGCCATACTTTGTATTTATAAATTGTCAAATAATGGGGTTTTCAATGTAAAAATGGAAACAGTACCAGATGCTAGCCGTGCAGTGAAGAATGTTCATTGCGATTGGCAAAACCAATCTCTGCTTTAAAATGTTTATTCTGTACTACCATGCAGAACCCTAATAACCTGTTACCTAAATGAGAAGGCAGTTAGTTATGGATTTGGTGATGTTGGTTTCCTAATGGTGCTGTGTGATCATGAAATCCACTGGCTATGTGCTGTAAGAAGAAAAACATGAATAGATTTTACATTGCATTATGTATGCTCCTTATTTCTTTTCTGCCACACAGAAACATGCTGTGTGGCTTGTCAGTAATATTTAAAAATAGCTGTAAATTATGACAGAATCATCAGGCAGTTAATAGTGAAGAAGAAAAAAAAAAACAGAATTAAGATTAATAATCTTAATAGGTCTTCTTTGTGTATATGCATTGTCAGAAAGCCTATAATTATGTGATTGGATTCTTCCCCTTCTCCCGCACCCTCCCTTTCTCCTTTCTGTGCTAGACCAATCTTCTGAATGAACGGCGTTTCAGTCTGCTGAGTTTTTGTTCAGCGTGTGGTCTAATGCACCATTCAAATACCAGTCTGAATACAGAACTACAAGTTCTTTGCTCAGTTCTTCTGCTGGTGCTGCACTATAGTATCTAAATGGTTTGCAAATGTCAGCTTAATCTTACTTGTACCTCTTGTGGTGAACAAATTTTATCATACCCTCTGTATAGACAGGACACTGATGCACAGGTAACTTCAATAAAATTAGGTACTTTTTCTGTGTGTAGAAGATGCCTCCAAACTCACCTCCTGGGAAAATTTGCTGCTTTTGTTTAGTGTTTCTGTTACTGAGGTTGCATTCTTGCATTGACTTTGGTTATAGTTGTTTACTGAAGCAACATTTGTAAAGACTCTGCAAGCTAGTGTTGTCTTAGGTTAGGCCCCAAGAAACAAGAACAATTTGATCTGTAACTGCTCATAAAGTTAAATTTTGATCATAGTTCATAACCTATGGAGCAATCTGAACTTGAAATGTAGAAGAGCCACAGAACTCATTTGTTAGCATGTCCTACTGTCTCCGCAGGCACTTGTGTTGATTCACAAACCAGTTTTTGTCTTGAGGGAAGGATGCATTGCCTAACTAGTTTGAAAAGCGTGGTTTTAAATAATTTTCTTAAATACAGTCTGTCACTGTGATATGGAGGGATCACTGGAAATAAAGATGCAGCATGAATTTTTCCACTGTTTTTCACAGATATTTGCTAATGGAGCTTCAGGAATTCCAGTTTCAGCTTAGCTCATTTTTGATGGAAAACTGTTCTGTGTTCTTTTCTCCGATGTTCACCTGATCCTTTCATTGCATCATACCCTTCTTTGTCTTGCTTTCTTCTGTCTTGCATTTGCACTCCAGTGCTGAACTCAAGCTATGTTTTCAGTGCCAGGGTACTTAAGCAGGGGAGGACTGAGAATATTCTCAAGTCCTGTATCTGGCTACTTCTTGGCCCCTGACTGCCCAAACCCAGATTTTTTACAAATGAAAAGATGCCTAAGTAATTAGGGAAGTGGACATGATTTTTCCTAAAGAATTTCTGGAGGGAGTTGTAATATTCAAATTTTGTAAGAAACTCTAGCCTGCAACAGACACCTGTGCTTTGATGAAGGTGCAAGCTATTGGAAAGCCGGAGTCCCGTAATTGTGCCTGTTGCAACCTGCAGTGTTCTTGGTGCATGTGCTCTTGGGAAAACATTTTGGTGGTTGTATTCCATGTGAGCAGGATGCTGTGCTCTGGTATTGAATTTCTGTGACTGAATCCATGGCAAATGCATGAACGACTTCTATCGATCATCCCAACAAATGCTAATGCAGTGTTTCTACTAAACCACCTCATCAGGGCTTTTGTGCGTTGCAGGTATTTTGTATTTTACAGATAGGCTATCTGATAAAAGTGCTAGTCTTCCTCCTGGTCTTTGCCTATAAAAGCAAGACATCTCCATCACTTTGAGTCCAGTTATACAGGCCCTAGAGGGAAAGGTAGGACTCCTACTGTTATATAACGTAAGTTTTCAGCACATACTGCCTGGTGAATAGATGGCATTAATCACTTTGTGCTGAAGCATCCTGTTTGGTGTAACTTGTTCTTTGCAATAAGCACGTGTTCTTGTTTCGTGCAGAATTGTGCTCATAGTTGTATACTGAGACAGACAACTGTACACGGTTGGCTTCATGAGTGCAACTGCCACCTTTATCTGCTTTTGAGTCTTTTCATCTCGGTCTCCAACTGTGTTCACAAAGGAGCTGTCAAGTTGACAGTCTCTGACCTGTCATGATAGTGAAGGAAACAGCAGTATCTATGTCCTGACCAAATTAGTGTCCCCACTGCCTGCCTGCCACAGTTGTCACGGGAGTGTTTTGATTGAAAGACCAGTATCTTAAACCTGATCAAAATGGAGTACAAGCATTCTTTGTCCTTTTGGAAGGTGTCCTCTCTGTTAAGTTTAGTGTTTCTGAATCCAGGAATTAGTATTTCCTGCTTGGCCCTTTGGGATACTGTGATTTGGAGGTGAAGCGAAGTATTGTAAACAGGTGAAAAAGAAAGAAGCTGTTTTGTGAGATTTGGCATCATTTAAGAGCAGAAAAAAGGCACACCAGTCTGAAGCTGATATTTTAAAAGTTACTAATATTTATAAAGAAGGATTAATGGCTAAAGTGGTTCCTTATCTTAGTTATCTGAAGTGTCCAAAAAAGTGATGTCTGTGGAAAAGCCTTTTTTTTGTTTTAAAGTTTTGTAATGTGTATATATATTGGTGTTCTCTGTTCGTGACCCAAAAGGAGTTTGGCTTTACAGATCCTAGGATAGAAAAATGTTGCCTGTAAAATTCTTCAGAAAGTCTGATATTTTTAATTACTTCTAAAATGTGGTGATGTTATGATGTAAGGGTTTGAAAAACAAGTCATTTGTGGTAGCAGCAGCTCCTGGATATTTTTTACTGCCAGTCATCCTAAATTCATGCCATTAAAACCTTAATCCCTAATCGTAATATCCCATATTTTCATCTTGTTCTCCTGAGCATATGATATGATGTTGATGTTGTTTATACCTAAATGTGAAATCACTTGGTTATTTGTCAACCTGTGTGCATGACCCCTTATATAAACTGTTCTCTCTAGCTTGATATACACAGAAGTGTTTGGCATGTTATTGGTTATTTAAAAAAGTAAAATAAAATTGAATTTACTAGTGGCCACCAAAGCAAGCTTGCAGTAGCCTCGTCACTGTCATCAATATCAGTTGATG